CTCTTTTCATTCCAGGAACAAAGCCTATCTTTCAAGGAACCTATCTTTTCGATTTCAACAACTTTGCATTTTCTTTAAATAAATCACCCTAGCAACCGACATATTTTATTTTCTTTCCTGCCATGTTTCAGAAATAAGTAATTAAGTCTAAGAAAGTACCCTAGCTCAATTAGCCAACCAAGCCAACCTCTGAGTATCCCCCAGGTGAATATCCTGTCTGGCAGGAATGATAAATTACCTGCACTGGACCACTAACAAAAACATAGAAGTTAGCATTTCCAACACATCATGTGCCCCCAGTCAGTCACAACACACAAACATAGAAGTTAGCATGTTTAACACAACACATTTGCCCCCAGTCAGTCACAACAAACAAACATAGAAGTTAGCATGTTTAACACAACACGTGCTCCCAGTCACTCACAACACAACACAAACAAACAGTGGTGACCAGAGGGAGGCTGTTGGGCTGTGGGGCATACCTGACCATGCAGAGTTTGGGCTCTGGTTGGTGGCCAGCAGTGTGATGAAGTCCTGGCAGGTGTTGGGCTGCAACAGGGGGCTGTCGTCCAGACAGAGGTCAATGATGAGGGCCACCGCCTTCTCACAGTACATGTCATGGTCCTTTCTCTCCTCCGCAGAACTCATCCTCCTACGGGAGTCCCACACAGTCTTTAGCTCTCATCCAGGACTGGAGAACGTGGAGGAGGGGTGGTGGTGGTGCTGCATAAAAAAATAGATGCTACTTGCCACTCTCCTCTTGTTGTAACTCACTCTGGCTCTCTCTGGCTCTCAGGCTCCTGAATGTACAGCCAGTCAGTATCAGTATGTGTGTCTGTCTGTGTGTGCGTGAGAGAGAGTGTGTGTGAGGGGGCTTGATGAAGCAGTGGGACCCCCCAGGTATTCCTGGAGCAGGAGTGTTGCATCATGCCATATCCATGCTTAGAAAGAGAGAGACAGAGGGTGGAGAGAGAGAGAGAGAGAGAGAGAGAGAGAGAGAGAGAGAGAGAGAGAGAGAGAGAGAGAGAGAGAGAGAGAGAGAGAGAGAGAGAGAGAGAGAGAGAGGAGAGAGAAAGGAGAGAGAACGAGTCTCTAGAGGTCTTTCTACAGACTGAGTGTATTTATCTTATGCACTCATGTGTAAGTAGATGTGTAGAAGAGTGTACATGTTACTTTGACTAGGGATGATAGGAGTCACTGTATTTCAACAATACAACTCAAATGGTGTTTAAATACTGTTCTCAAACACTGAACATGTCTGCACTTTTTTTTAACCATGCAGGTGTGACGCATGCAAATTAGTTCTAAATTATTCCAAATGTAAAAAATAAAATAAAAAGACATAAATGGAAGGTGCTCACATGAAAAAGGACTACTGTTTACTATAGAATACTACAGTACATACTATATACCTTTGTAGTAAACTGTGGTATACTGTAGAATACTATAATACACACTGTAGTATCCCTTGATCATGTGTATTCTTTAACATAGAATTGTGTAGTATACTGTATACTACAGTCCGCAAAAACCCTACAGTAAATACTACAGTAATGTCCATAAAAAGTTTTTTAACTAAAGTAATACTACAGTAATTAATTTGCATATACCCTGCCCATTGTCCTTCCCCATATCCCAATTTGTGCCACCAATAAGTTAGAAACCTACATGCCAAGTATAGACCATATATTGTGTTCAATACAGGTTACAGAAAAGAGCAGAAGCTCTGAACTATCCGTTCAGACTATAGTATACTACTATAGTATACTATAGTAATATCTGTAAAACACTACAGTATAGTTAATATTACAGTATACTACAGTCCACAAAAACACAGCAGTTTTTTTTTTAAACTATAGTATTACTACAGTATTATACTATAGTAAACTGTAGTCTTTTTTAATGTGGGTATTAATGGAAATAAGTATTTAAGTGTGAGACAAATATGCATATGAATTGTGGTACATGGTCTGAATCACATGTGATACATAAACAAATTAATCAAATTGGTGTTGCTTTATTAGGAAATCTATTCATTTCAAAAACTGATAATGACATCAAATACAGCTGTTAACCCACTCATACTGCACCCTGCTGGTGACATAATAGGTGTGAAAGCAAAGAGAGAGAGAAAAAAAGCAAGAGAGAGAGCGAGGGTGAGAGAAAAAGAAAGAGAGACAGAGAGAGAGAGAGCAAGACAGCAACAGAGAGAGAGTTTGGAGGGAGAGAAACAGACAGAGAAAGAGAGAGGCTCCAGCCACAGAGGTCGGATTTTCAGTATTTCGTAATCTGAGGCAGGATTACGAAATCGGAGTCTATAGGAATATATAGATTTACAGTGCCTTGCAAAAGTATTCATCCCCCTTGGCGTTTTTACTATTTTGTTGCATTACAACCTGTAATTTAAATTGATTTTTATTTGGATTTCATGTAATGGACATATACAAAATAGTCCAAATTGGTGAAGTGAAATAAAAAAAAGAACTTGTTTCAAAGAATCCTAAAAAATAAATTACGGAAAGGTGGTGCGTGCATATGTATTCACCCCCTTTGCTATGAAGCCCCTAAATAAGATCTGGTGCAACCAATTACCTTCAGAAGTCACATAATTAGTTAAATAAAGTCCACCTGTGTGCAATCTAAGTGTCACATGATCTCAGTATATATACACCTGTTCTGAAAGGCCCCAGTGTCTGCAACACCACTAAGCAAGGGGCACCACCAAGCAAGTGGCACTATGAAGACCAAGGAGCTCTCCAAACAGATCAGGGACAAAGTTGTGGAGAAGTACAGATCAGGGTTGGGTTATAAAAAAATATCCGAAACTTTGAACATCCCACGGAGCACCATTAAATCCATTATTAAAAAATTGAAAGAATAGGGCACCACAACAAACCTGCCAAGAGAGGGCCACCCACCAAAACTCACAGACCAGGCAAGGAGGGCATTAATCAGAGAGGCAACAAAGAGACCAAAGATAACCCTGAAGGAGCTAAAAGGCTCCACAGCGGAGATTGGAGTATCTGTCCATAGGACCACTTTAAGCCGTACACTCTTATTCAATGTTGTCTTTTTCTTTGCCATTACTGTATTCGTGCGTTTGGAAACCCCATCCAACCTCCCCCCTATATCATAAAGGTACGACAGACAACTTCAACTCTAAATGGATGGGGAACAGAGTTTAGACACAGGTGGCCTTAACAAAAGTTAAGTACTTCTCAATTTCATTACGATTTTGTTTGGTCATATTTGGAGAGTCAGGTACTTTTAAGATATACGGCTTATGGTTATTGTATTTTGCTCTATGGCGCTTTAGCAGAACAGCCCCATCTGCTGACACAATATTTATCTTCCACTCGGTACAACACGACCCAGGAGAGGCCTACTGCAAGCACTGGATTGGAGCCTTCAGAGCGTGCCTGCCGTGGGAGGACAACGGAACATTCTGAAAGGACATTATTAAAACATAACTTTACCTTTTGTAATGCCCAATCGGGACTTTTATAAATTGTTAAAATAAATGTGTGGAACGCCCTACAGTCTTCTCCTCAGTTTTTTTAAAATGAAGATCGGGATTCTACTGGACCAGTGGTTCGGCTCCCATTACATTTTATATCAGTGATTAACAGCAACCTATTACAGTTAGCAACATAACGTAAATGTGTGAATAATGGTTGAAGATGGACTGGTGCAGGGCTCTCCAACCCTTTTCCTGGAGAGCTACTGTCTTGTAGGTTTTCACTCCAATCCTAATCTAGCGCACCTGATTTAAATAATTACCTGGTTAATCAGGTTAGTTACAACTGAGGTTGGATTGAAAACCTACAGGAAGGTAGCTCTCCAGGAACAGGGTTGGAGAGCCTTGGACTAATGGATCTAGTTTTTAGATCAATGCATTTGAAATTTGTTAAGTCACTACAAAGGTGTAGTTCCCAGAAGTGGAGCTGTCACTTAATGCAATGGATGGGAAGCCTCATCATTGCATGTAGTTCTAATTTAATGAAAATGGTGTAAGTTAATTTGTTCTTAAATATAGGACATCACATTTTCAGATTTGGATGAGTTGGCTGCAATATGGCAGCAGTACTTCAGTCAATATCAGCAAACGATTTTGGTTATTTGTTTCAGTGTCAGTAAAGTGTTTGTAAAAAAACTAAACCATAAAACACTAAGACAAACAACAATATGGACTGTATAATTAATTTAATATTAACGATCATTACGTGAACATTAACAGCCAATACGGATATACAGTACATTCGTAAAGTATTCAGACCCCTTGACTTTTTGCAAATGTTGTTACATTACAGCCTTATTCTAAAATGGATTCAATAAATAAAAATGTTGCGTCATACCCAAGAAGACTTGAGGCTGTAGTCGCTGCCAAAGGTGCTTCAACAAAGTACTGAGTAAAGGGTCTGAATACTTATGTAAATGTGATATTTCCATGTATTTTTATTCTTATACATTTGCAAAAATGTCTAAACCGGTTTTTGCTTTGTCATTATGGGGTATTGTGTGTAGATTGATGAGGAAAAAACATTTTATAAATTGTAGAATAAGGCTGTAACGTAATAAAATGTGGAAAAAGTCAAGGGGTCTGAATAATGTCAGAATGCACTATACTAACAATACATAGACGGTAAGTAGATAAATGCTTAAATGTGGTTGTGCAGCTACATTTTCAAACACTCAATTGCTACTGTAGCTTACTGCTACAATTCTATAAATTATGTATCATACAAATAAATATTTTGAAAAACAATGAATTTAGCGGCCAAATATATCTGCTCACTTGTCTCCATTAGTCTGACAAGTGGGCAGAAAGAGGTACATTAAGACATTCAAAGAACAGGGTCGGAAATATACAAGTCTTCAGTACATACTGTATATGAAATGGTGGAAGAGAGAAGGCAGAACAAGTCCCACAGACTTGTGAATACAAGTAATTCACCCTCCAATGTTCTAACTATTATGTGTCACTCTCCACTAAGGTGTGTTTATGCAACACCGGAATGTGGGGAATTCACAATACCGGAGGTCATGAATTCCCTAAAGGCATTGTAGGTGCTATGAAGAGGGAGCCTTAGTGTCACAGCACACGTGTTTGCCTCTTGGTACTTTTTCTTCTGCTGCCCAGCGAGACTCCCTCGCGCTGTGTGGAGGAATTCGATGGTCGGGGGGTCCTCAAACCCCAGGGGTGGCACCAGCGTTGCCCCAGTATCAAACTCCCAACACCATTGCCACTGTTAGAGGAGGACATTCTCCATCTGAGGAGTACACAGTAAAACATTTAAATCACAAATGGAATAATACGCAGTTACCGATCAACTTGAACAATTGAGCTACTATCTTACCTTGCTCCTCAGCCAGCCAGTTGAACCAGTGGCAGATGGTGTCATTCTCCAACCACCGCCGGTTGCTGCCAGGTATGGAATAGGTTACTTTAAACAGGTCCCTGGCAGTGGAAGATTTATGGAGTCTACAAGAAGTGCTCGGAAGCTGTCCGGGTGGTTCCCCAATGCCTCCAGCAGCACAAGAGAGTTGAGACCATATTTGAACCTGTTATGGTTTAGAGACAGTATGTATATATTTTTTAAAGTGTTAAGGACAATATAGTGATGTGTATTGATTTAGGGGAGTGGACCGATTCAAAATACTTATGTTAGAGGAAATAATGACAAGTACTTCACAGTAGCCGCAAGCAGCAGCAGGATTTCTGACGATAAATGTGTGCTTTAGTATTATTTTCTTTGGCAACTGTGGTATAAGCGGGATAAACGCCTCCTTAAGCGCTCAAATACTTTTACTTTTGTATACAGAGGGAAATCCAGTTTCTTTTTAAATTAATTCATTACCTCTGGCATGTATCACGTGACATAATAAAGCTCAATCTACCTCCCCCTTCCTAACACATAAGCTATGAAATACCTTCAATCTTAAGTACAGGACAGACCTCCCTAGCCCAGCTGATTTGATTGCAGCTGGACACATGCTGTTCAGCTGTAGGGGAACGAGCCTCCTCCTCCTGTCTGTCTTAAAGGCCTCTACATTTGGATTCATCTGGGGGAATGTTTCCCCCAAAACCTTCAAGATGCTGCTCTCCTCCTGACCACAGGGCACTTTGATCTGCCTCACAGGATACTCTAAAGATACTGAGATATGGAAACATTATTTAAATGTAATAAAAAGTATCCTAATATACACAGGGAAACAGTCCATGATATTTAAAATCAGTAAAATAACATTCAATAAGTATATGTTTAATCACAAGAATTTGAAGAAAAAGTCAACGAAATCTTAACACAACATAACAGCAATAGAAAGGCCTAGTTTACTGGAACGGGCATACTGTTAAATAACAAACGATAACATAGCTAGCTAGGTAGGCTAATAATAGAAAGGGGAGAGCGTTACGTTAGGTAGCTGTACCAGTCAATGTTGACTTTTGCCAGGTATTACCTACCAGAATTAATCCTACCTTTGAACCACCCGATCCTCCTGGGGTGGTTGTACTTGGTTGGCAAAACTTAAAAAGCGGTCTCTCATGGTTTAAAGGTTCGACATAACTTATTCGTTTGTTGGTGAGATGTCTTTCATATAGCTGGCTTCACATGCGCCTTATTAGTGATTGGCCACTATTTGCATATAGGTTGCATATTGTTATTTGACGCGTTCAATAATATTTAGCATGACCGATATTGCAGAACCGGATTATTTCAAAGATCCTTAAGAATGTTTTCTTGTTTCTTAAGTGCATTTGAGATGGTAATACATATTTATTTGTTTGTTTACTGTTGATGACAGAGCACTCACCCAAGTGCGCCTTCAGCAGTGGCCCTGTCCGAGAGGATCAAAACCACAATGTATCATGGTTAAATTGTGACTGACTGACTGATCTACAAATAATAATGAGTCGTTATTTATGATACAAGGTGATTTGTAGACCAGTCAGTACGCAGTCGTTTTGGTGCTCTTGAACACAGCCAAACTCGGTTCAGTTTGGAGGGTTTTGTCCAGCTTTTTTTCAAAATATACTTTTCATAGCAGGTTAGGAGAATTTAGGGAGTGAACGTTATTTATAATCAGGGTTACATTGAGAAAATCGGACATCTCTGAAATGAAAATGGATGGCCCTCCCTTCAGCAAAATACATTTGACCTAAACCCTCCCTGAACGCTTGAAAAAAAAAAAAAAAAAAGTGACCCTCCCCTATTCCCAAAATAATAATTTTAAATAAAGTGGATAGCAGAGAACGTCTCCCGTTTACCCTCACTCCTAGGACAGACCAGAGCCTTAGATATGCAGTTTTAGAAACGGTTCTTCGTCTTGTAAGCATTACATGACAATGTAGGCATTTTGATAGCGCATAGGGCTGCGGGCCAGAAGGTTGTGGATTCGCAGGCCACCGTGGACAAGAGTAGGGGTGGAAATATCTCCTGTATAGTAAAACCATTGCATGAATCTATTATCGTATTTGCAGGTTAGAGAAAAATTGCCTTTTATAAACATTTCATGCAATTCTACGTCATTTTACAAATTAGCAGATTTTTTAATACCACACAAATTTCTGAAATGACAGGCTAAGAATGGACAGAGAGATAGGCCTATGTGTTCATCTTATCATATTTCTCCAATGCCAAATGAGTGTCTTGTTTGCAACGAAACTGTCCCTGTTTGCAAATAATTAAATCTGAGACGCCATTTGGAGTCTGAGCATGGTACATTCAAAAGTTAGGCCTACCAATGCAAAAAATGTTAAGCTTTAACTGCTGGCTACTCTTCTTCTGTGGCTTAACCCAACGAGAGAAGGTCATAAGTGGTTCCTTAAAAGCTGTCTGGGTTTAAACATCTTCTATTGTACAGAAAGTGAATAGCTTAATCAATTGATAGTGACAGAATTAGATTACTCTACAAGCAAAGTCTATTTTTTGTCTCCTCGGCTATAGAAGGTCGTAACTCAGCCTCTGAATGTCAAAGAAACGGAACAACGATATCCCCATATGTATCGGAGTCACGTAGTTTCCGGGTATTTTACTGCTTGTTTCTAGCATAAAGCACCGCGGACCAAAGCGCTGTTATAGATAACTTTATATAATCGGATCCGCTTTATTTTCTTCAAAATCTTAAACTAACAAGGGGTAGGTCTGTGCTTTTTGCCATTTTCTTTAATAAAAAAAACCTATAATAACCCCTCAATTCCAGTCTTGGTTTTAACTTAACAGCCCTTCACTGACACAGAGGTAGGCTATTTAAAGAGTGCACGGTGGGTGGAGGAGTTGAGACAAATCTATGACTATAGCAGCCTATAGGCTAATTTCGTCTGTCAAACAGGTAGGCCTACCTCTTATTTATTAAATACTATAGGAAGAAATAGGCTCCAACACAAAGCCCTGTTGTTGTTAGTAAAGTCTAATTAAAATGAAGACGGTTTAAATGAATTATGCCTACTCGAATTTGCCTAATTTAACGTAGCAGGTTAGGAGAAGGGTTAGCTAAAAAAAAGTTCAAATGCAAACTGGCGAAACGAAAGACAGCCATGGATCATTGTACATTAGCAATTAGAATGCAATACACTTAATATTTTAAATAAAAACCTCTGTTTCTCTGTCTGTGATGCGTATGACTTTTTACATGAAAGACCGGTGGATATTTGCCATGAAATCGAAGTTGTTTTTGGTTCTCTGATGAAATGTGGTTTGGGTCCTAATTGCCTCTGGCATAAACTCGGACACCTCTCGGTAGCGTCTCGGCCGTTGCCTACGTCACCAGTTTTTACCAAATGGGATTGAACAGCGTGGAATGAACATTTCCAAATCGTTGTAGCGGTGGCTGAAATTAACAAACAACAGGTAATTACTGATCATTAAAAGTTGCATTTTGTCTTTGTTACACGTCAGAGACGGTTCAGCACAGTAGAATGCATGAATGGTCAGTGAGTGTGATGTACCATTATTTTCTTTTGATTTAAATTAGCTAGCTATAGTCCCTGAACTTGACAAAAATAAATGTTCCTGAACGATTCCCCTGAATTTTATGACAACCCATTGAGAAATTACTTGCATGACGCCATACTATTGATAAAATGATCTGCTTCAGTATAATGTATATTTGCTGTGTTTTTCCAACCCTCTCTAATTTTGCTTAGATGAAGATGTGGCATCCCTTGCAATCACTTCCTCTGTGTGTGCTACTTGCTTTTCTTGTGAGCCACGGCCAAGGAACCAGGCAGGGCCAGGATCTCAAATGTGGAGGTAAGTCTTTGGACTAATACCTTTTTACTACACTAGATCCTGTTTAATCTCATAATTTGATCCCAACCCCCTTATTTTCTACATTGTGCGTCCACTTTTGGTCTGCATACCTTAATTTAATTACCTAACATTTCGCTATTGTCCATCAGCATGTAGGGCCATGGTGGATGAGATGGAGTGGGCAATATCCCAGGTGGATCCTAACAAAATGATCCAGACCGGGTCCTTTAGAATCAACCCAGATGGTAGCCAGTCTATTAGAGAGGTAATTGTACCTGATGGCTACTGGGTCCTTCATTGGCCTTATTTTACACATTCAATGTTATTTATTTGGAGGCTGGGATTCTACAGCATTGTTTTTAAAACATAGTAATAGTAATGTATGATCACAGTGTTTCCTATGATAGGGGTATCATCTTTCTCTCTTGTTGAGCTCACCAACATTGTGTTCCCCCCAGGTTCCTCTCGCCCGCTCGGAGGGTAACCTCCTGGAGCTAATGGAGGAGATATGTGAGAAGATGAAGGATTACGGGGAACGCTTGGACCCCATCACCAGCAGGGAGACCTATGAGAGGGTCACGTCTCGGAACGGCAAACCCATGGACCTCTCAGAGGCTAAACTGGATTCCAGAGTCACATCCAGCCTGAAATTTGCTGTGGGTAGCCATTTTGTTTTCATTTTCACATGTTAGGGGGTAGGATCTAGGGATGATGACATGCTATAGCTCATCAGTGTGACATTCTAGAACCTCTGATAATGTAGTGAATGATAATGACTACAGTTGATTGCATCTTTGTTGCAACTTTCACCCAAACATACCAATGCAGTGGAAACTTTCCACATCCATATGTTTGTACTGTAGGTTACAAGCCAGTGGCTCCAAGCTCCTGCATCTCACTGAAATGTGTGACCAACTACATCTTATTTAACCATTATCTTCTGTCGTACCCCTAGTGTGAGACCATCATTGAACAACATGAAGACGAGGTCATCGAATTCTTTGCCCATGAAACGGACAACGTGAAAGACAAACTCTGCAGCAAGAGAACAGGTATGCCACCCTCTTACTTGATCCAATACATTATATTGACCACTAGAGACTACATGCACTGCTATTGGGGATACACCTCTTACAAAATTGTGTTTGGCATAACTCATTGTAATACAATACGTGTAAAGTGAAAAATCAATACTAAAATAATGTAACTCATTGATGGTTTTTCTCTGCAGACCTTTGCGACCATGCTCTGCAAATCCCTCATGATGAGCTATGATTCCATCCTGCAGTTCACGCAGCTCAGCTTTACACACAGCTACCTTCCACCACGTTAGTGTGTGGGGAGGTGGAAATGTAGAACTCAACACACTAGCTCGATCTGCGCTATCAATCACAAGTCATAGATGCAAGGTATAACTTATTGGGCGACTACTGTTAAGAAAACTCATGACATCAACTATATTCTCACACATTTGTGCTTTTGTGCCTCAATTTATATTGTCCTTATGCAGGTGTGTATGATGTGGGTAGAGCACTCTTGTAATGTGTATATTACTGCAATGAATTCAAATCAAATGTATTGGTCGCATACACATTTAGAAGATGTTATTGCGGGTGCTATTTATAGTATGTCTAACACAGCTGTAGCTATGAAAAAAATGGTATCACTCTGGATGATTTCAGGAGTTTAAACATTCTTAACCTTACTCTTGAAGCAGATGGTGAATCAAATTCTGTAACAGTAGTTAGATACTGAAATTGTTCAACATGGTTGCAGATCTTGCTGTGCTTGTTGCTTTGATTAATTGTATCCTGTGAATGATGGAAAGGTTTGATTTATACTTTCTCGAGCAACTCTCATTCCTCTTTTCTATTTTGTGTATTCATCTTTTGTCACAGTCATCTGTTTTTCATACTTTGATGGAAATATATTTCTACAATCTGGAGTCATTGTTTTCAGTGTTGTTTTAGTGTTGCATTACACACAAGTGGGTTTGTGTTAAGACAAGAATAATAACTAATCAGACAATACTCATGCAGTTTAAAGCTGCAATATTTTAACTTTTTGGGCGACCCGACAATTCACATAGAAAGTGAGGTATAGATCTGTCATTCTCAATGAAAGAAAGTCTAAGAAGCAGTAGATCTGTTCTGTGTGCTATTTCTATGCTTCCCGTTTTTAAGTTTAGGTTTTTGTGTCCTAGACTTTCGGTTTTGTAGACCAGCTGAAAAATACAATATTTTTAGTTATGGAAGATATATTTCAAAGCGGTTTAGATGGTACAATGATTCTCTACACTATACTTGCTTGTTTGTCACAAACTGAAATTAGGCAATTAGAATTTTAGCGGATATGGCGGAGGGATGTATGCATAGTGCATCTTTAAGCCATTGTGTTTTAAACGTTTAATAACATTTGCATGTTACAATTACAATCTCATGTCGGTGAAGATCACACTTATGCAACCTATTTAAATCCTTGACGCTAGATTCAACCAGACACCTACCCACAGGCAGATTATGTACGTCACCCAAACCATGCCTGTTCCCAGCCAATCTCCTTTGTTGGCCTGTTCATCTCGCTCAACCTTCACCTACCATCAAACTCAGGAGGGGCACCTTCAACGAGGTACTGGGGACTTTTACCAGCACAGTCAGAATCTACCAAGACAAACTCATCACATCCACCATGTCCCTACTGTCCGCCTGCAGGTTTGCCCCGAAGGTCTTAAATTCAACGAAGGTGAGCTCGATAAAGGAGATGGGCGCTGCATTGTCCCGGCCCATGCCATAACGTTAGCTAGCTAGTATGCTAAAACGTTGGCTAGCCCAACCAGTTAGTTAGCCACTTACCAATCAGAACATACGTGAAGTTAGCATTTAGCCATAGTAGCTAGCTAACTAGTTAAAATACTTTAGGCCTTAGCTAAGTGATGTGTAGATTGCTAAACTGCTAACGCGTTAGAACAAGTTCGCATTCAGGTAGCCAAATCCAACTATGTTGTTATTAGTTAGCCAGCTAAACTATGTACCGTAGACTAAACTATTTTTACACTGCTGCTACTCGCTGTTTATTATCTATGCATAGTCACTTTACCCCTACCTACATGTACCTATTACCTCAATTACCTCGACTAACCGGTGCCCCCGCACATTGACTCGGTACCGTTACCCCCTGTATATAGCCTCGTTATTGTTATTTTATTGTTGCTCTTTTATTTGTTACTTTAGTTTATTTAGTAAATCTTTTTTCTTAACTGCATTGTTGGTTAAGGGCTTGTAAGTAAGCATCTCACGGTAAGGTCTACACCTGTTGTATTCGGCGCATGTGACAAATACAATTTGATTTGATTTGTCATGGAACTCAAGCTTCAGTCTGTCTTGCAGTGATTAGGTAGGCTAGGTCATTGTTGGGGATACAGGCAAGGTCATTGTTGGGGATACAGGCTAGGTCATTGTTGGGGATAGAGTCAACCTGGTTTGACTGATTGCCTCTCTCCTGACACAACCCTTCTTGTGCCTTGCAGAGCGCAGCATGTCTCTTCATCGCTTCCAGAAATGCCACTACATCAACAGTAAGGACTCTGGCTGGACCTCCTTCAATATTCAATTTGATTTACACACATGCTTTTTACCTAGCAGTGCTGTGATGAGGTCATTTTGAACTGAGTGGCCCTCATAAATGAGTTGTCTTTCTAACTGTGATTTATTGTATTTTTCTCTGTGCTGTTGCAGAACCTGAGAGATGTGCTCTCGGATCTCGTCCCTAAAGAACAGAGTAGGATTAAGAATTTCAAAACGCAGTATGGCAAGACCAACATCGGCTCAATCACTGTGGATATGGTACATTCAGTTCAACTGTCATTTGTAAACATTCTACATTATAGGTGTACCCCTTTCAGTGCCAGTTGTAGTGTGAATATGGTAGCTGTTGATGTTAAGTGTGTGTGCCCTTGTCTTTACAGATCTACGGTGGGATGAGAGGTATGAAGGGCCTGGTGTATGAGACCTCTGTGCTGGATGCAGATGAGGTGAGTTGGTCTTTGCAGGGAAAGCCCCTGGACAGAGAATTGAATGCGTGCTCAGTATTGGGTAGGGGGATAGATTGGGCATTTTAGCCGTTTTCAGTTGCTTGTTAGTATCTTAGATTGTTTACACTTAGCCTAGATCAGGGGTAGGCAACTAGATTCAGCTGTAGGCTGATTTTTGTCTGAGTGGATGGTCGGTGGGGCTGGAACATAATTATAATAATTTCTACACTACAAATTGATGACAACTAAGCCAAATAATCATTTCATACCTTGATTACATTAAAGACACGATCACATAAGTAACTTTTTTATTTTATTTGTAGGAATACTTGGGAACAGATTTCCTATATTAAACTATTTTTTTGCTGAAGTCTTTGCCCTTTAGTGATTCATTTCCTGTGGCTGAGCTGAAGAGAATTGTTTTGAAACAGAATGATTTGCACACTTGCTTAGTACTCCCCTGAGGGAGATGGCAGTCATTTCAGCAGTCAGCACTACTTGTGGATATTGGCTTGAAAGTCATAAGATAACACTCATGTGACATAGGGCCTATGGGTTATGTAATGTCAATGTGGGGAGTGGGGTCAAAGGTATTTGAATAATATAATAATAATATGCCATTTAGCAGACGCTTTTATCGAAAGCGACTTAGTCATGTGTGCATAAATTTTTACGTATGGGTGGTCCCGGGGATCGAACCCACTACCCTGGCGTTACAAGCGCCATGCTCTACCAATTGAGCTACAGAGGACCACCAATAAAACAGACAGAGGGAAGTTTTTGGTGGTTGCAGCCCTGTCCCACCCCTTTATATGAATTTATTAATACATGCAAATGCACCCAGTGTATATATGTTAATGAGGCACATACAATTTTCTTTCTTTTGTCACAAATCTATATATTTTTATCTGATATAAAAATAAAATGATTTTCATGATTTTTCTTAATCCTGGCATTATCAGAAATAATTTAGAAGTGTTTAGAAACATCTTATCTACTCACTTATAAAGAAAATTGCTTCAGTCATCATTCAGTTACTATTGGGCAAAACAAACTGCAAATGCATCCAACGAGTTTGTAGAGTCAGAATCTTGATGTAGTCATTGCGTGCAAGGAATATTAGACCAAATACTAATATTTGGACTACTTTGATACATAAAAGTGCTGTCATTTCTAAACGGTAAAACATATGCATGAAGATACCCTCAAATAAAAGGTGACATTCTGTACTGTTGCCTCATGATGAGTATAGAGCCCCCCCCCCCCCACATAAAAATGCCTAACTTTCCAAATACATATGGAGGGGAGTGTAGATATCTATTCATGGCAATGATTATGACTAAGTAGCTATTTATATGGGTCTGTTATTATTCTTTATTTTTTAAAGGGAATTCGTTTCCGTGGCTACAGCATTCCGGAGTGCCAGCAGCTGTTGCCCAAGGCTCCAGGAGGTGCCGAGCCCCTGCCTGAAGGTCTGTTCTGGCTGCTGGTGACAGGCCAGGTGCCCACAGAGGAACAGGTGAGTGTTAGCTAGGCAACTCATTATGGAGAGAGAGTATGGCACAGCAGCTTAAATGTTGATACAACAACCCTTTTCATAATGGTACAGAGAACAGATCACATGATGTATATATTCAATAAAAAAGGTTGACCCATATAGCATAAACCACAACATAAAGCTTTACAACAGACAATAGCTCTTGATCTTTTTATCTGTGGGAGGAGGTTTTCTTCCATTTTGGTTTAGTGACGGATGATATTTTGCATAGAAAACTATATTCAGTGGCCCTCTCTGTGATTGTAGGTTCCCTGTAGCTCAGTTGGTAGAGCATGGCGCTTGCAACGCCAGAGTTGTGGGTTCGTTTCCCACGGGGGGCCAGTATGAAAAATGTATGCACTCACTAACTGTAAGTCGCTCTGGATAAGAGCGTCTGCTAAATGACTAAAATGTAATTGTAAGGACTTAATACATACGTTTGGTGTGCATAGCTTGACCAATTACCCTATTGCTGATTCTGTGTATTGTATCTGTCCCCAGGTGAACTGGCTGTCCAAGGAGTGGGCCAAGCGTGCAGCTCTTCCCTCCCACGTGGTCACCATGCTGGATAACTTCCCCACCAACCTCCACCCTATGTCTCAGTTCAGCGCCGCCATCACAGCTCTGAACAGTGAGAGCAGCTTCGCTCGGGCCTACTCTGAGGGAGTCAACAAGGCCAAGTACTGGGAGGTGAGCTCAGGAAACATACCCTGAAGAATATTGAACAGTGCACGCTGTTGTGGGAAAACATGTTCAGTAGGACAAACCGTTGTGAAATGTAGCAAAATGTCTGAACGCGCCCCAGTTATAAGAAGTCGAGATGGTGGAATCTGAACATGTGTTAATTGATCTATTGAAAGAGTTCCTTTTTTCCGATTACACTATTGACATGAAAATTATTCTATTTTCTCAGTTTGTCTATGAAGACTCCATGGATCTGATCGCTAAACTGCCTTGCGTTGCGGCCAAGATTTACCGCAACCTTTACCGCGAGGGCAGCAGCATTGGCGCAATTGACTCCAGTCTGGACTGGTCCCACAACTTCACCAACATGCTGGGCTACAGCGATACCACGTTCACTGAGCTTATGCGCCTGTACCTCACCATCCACAGGTCAGTTTTATAGAGCGTTCTACTTCATTCATAATCTTTTTTTCTCTTTATCATCCATTACCTTGTTAACTTTAAGATGTGCATATTCAGCTCCTGCTCTGTCATTGCACAATGCAGTTATGTGGCTACATCACTTATTTATTCACTCACTCCCCTTTTCTCCTTCGCTAGTGACCATGAGGGTGGTAACGTGAGTGCCCACACCAGCCACTTAGTGGGCAGTGCCCTGTCTGACCCCTACCTCTCCTTCAGCGCAGCTATGAACGGATTGGCCGGACCCCTTCATGGACTGGCTAACCAGGTGTGTACGGATGCTGATGTCAAAGTTAACATCCAACCTACTAGTGTGTGTGTGTATATGCTGTCAACTGAGTATACAAAACATTAGGAACACCTTCCTAATATTGAGTTGCACCCCCCTTTGCTCTCAGAACGGCCTCAATTCGTCGGGGCACGGACTCTACAAGGTGTCGAAAGTGTTCCACAGGGATAATAATAATATGCCATTTAGCAGACGCTTTTATCCAAAGCGACTTAGTCATGCGTGCATACATTTTTCTTTTTGTGTATGGGTGGCCCATGTTGACTCTAATGCTTCCCACAGTTGTGTCAAGTTGGCTGGATTCTTGATGCACACGGAAAACAGTTGAGCGTGAAAAATCCAGCAGCGTGCAGTTCATGACACACTCAAACCGGTGCGCCTGGCACGTACTACCATACCCTGTTCAAAGGCACGTCAATATTTTGTCTTGCCCATTTACCCTCTGAATGGCACACATACACAATTCATGTCTCAGTTGTCTCAATGCTTAAAAATCCTTCTTTAACCTGTCTCCTCTTCATCTACACTGTTTTGAAGTGGATTTAACAAGTGACATCAATAAGGGATCATAGCTTTCACCTGGTCAGTCTATGTCATGGAAAGAGCAGGTGTTCCTAATGTTTTGTACACTCAGTGTGTGTGTATATATGTGTGTATATACAATACCAGTCAAAAGTTTGGACACACCTACTCATTCAAGAGTTTATCTTTATTTTTTACTATTTTCTACATTGTAGAATAGTAGTGAAGACATCAAAACTATGAAATAACACATGGAATCATATAGTAACCAAAAAAGTGTTAAACAAATCAAAATATATTTTATATTTGAGTTCTTCAAAGTAGCCACCCTTTACCTTAGTGATAGCTTTGCACATTCTTGGCATTCTCTCAACCAGCTTCACCTGGAATGCTTTTCCAACAGTCTTGAAGTTGTTCCCACATATGCTGAACACTTGCTGGCTGCTTTTCCTTCACTCTGCAGTCCAACTCATCCCAAACCATCTCAATTGGGTTGAGGTCGGGGGATTGTGGAGGCCAGGTCATCTGATGCAGCACTCCATCCCTCTCCTTCTTGGTCAAAAAGCCCTTACACAGCCTGGAGGTGTGTTAGGTCATTGTCCTCTTGAAAAACAAATGATTGGCCCACTAAGCCCAAACCAAAGGCGGGTGTATTGCTGCAGAATGCTGTGGTAGCCATGTTGGTTAAGTGTGCCTTGAATTCTAAATAAATCACTGACAGCGTCACCAGCAAAGCACCATCAAACCTCCTCTATGCTTCACGGTGGAAACTACACATGTGGAGATCAACCGTTCATCTACACTGCGTCTCACAAAGACACAGCGGTTGTACCCAAAAATCTCAAATTTGGACTCCAGACCAAAGGACACATTTCCACCGGTCTATTGTCCATTGCTTGTGTTTCTTGTCCCAAGCAAGTCTCTTCTTCTTATCGGTGTCCTTTAGTAGTGGTTTCTTTGCAGCAATTCGACTTTGAAGGCCTGATTCATGCAGTCTCCTCTGAACAGTTGATGTTGATACATGTCTGTTATTTGAACTCTGTGAAGCACTTATTTGGGCTGCAATTTCTGAGGCTGGTAACTCTAATGAATGTATCCTCTGCAGCAGAGGTAACTCTGGGTCTTCCTTTCCTGTGGCGGTCCTCATGAGAGCCAGTTTCATCATAGCACTTGATGGTTTTTGCGACTGCACTTGAAGAAACGTTCAAAGTTATTCACATTTTCTGGATTGACTGACATTCATGTCTTAAAGTAATGATGGACTGTCGTTTCTCTTTCCTTATTTGAACTGTTCTTGCCATAATATGGACTTGGTCTTTTACCAAATAGGGCTATGTTCGGTATACCCCCCCTACCTTGTCACAACACAACTTATTGGCTCAAACGCATTAAGAAGGAAAGAAATTCCACAAATTAACTTTTAAGAAGGCACACCTGTTAATTGAAATGCGTTCCAGGTGACTACCTCATGAAGCTGGTTGAGAGAATGCCAAGAGTGTGCAAAGCTGTCAAGGCAAAGGGTGGCTATTTGAAGAATCTCAAATATAAAATATGTTTTGGATTTGTTTAACACTTTTTTGGTTACTACATGATTCCATATGTGTTATTTCATAGTTTTGATGTCTTCACTATTATTCTACAATGTAGAAAATAGTAAAAATAAAAACCCTGGAATGAGTAGGTGTGTCCAAACTTTTGACTGGTACTGTACATACATACACAATGCATTCGGAAAGTATTCATTTTGTTACGTTCCAGCCTTATTCTAAAATTGATTAAATAGTTTCCCCCCCTCAATCTACACACAATACCCCATAATGACAAAGAAAAAACAGGTTTTTAAAAAGGAAAAAATAAAAGGCAATATCACATTTACATAAGTATTCAGACCCTTTACTCAGTACTTTGTTGAAGCACCTTTTGGTAGTGATTACAGCCTCAAGTCTTCTTGGGTATGTCGCTACAAGCTTGGCACAACTGTATTTGGGGAGTTTCTCCCAATCTTCTCTGCAGATCCTCTCAAGCTCTGTCAGGTTGGATGGGGAGTGTCGCTGCACAGCAATTGTCAGGTCTTTCCAGAGATGTTCGATCGGGTTCAAGTCCGGGCTCTGGCTGGGCCACTCAAGGACATTCAGAGACTTGTCTCGAAGCCTGTGTTGTCTTGGCTCTGTGCTTAGGGTTGTTGTCCTTTTGGAAGGTGAACCTTCGCCCCAGTCTGAGGTCCTGAGTGCTCTGGAGAAGGTTTTCATCAAGGATCTCTCTGTTAATCTTTCCCTCGATCCTGACTAGTCTCTCAGTCCCTGCCACTGAACAACATCCCCACAGCATGATGCTGCCCCCACCATGCTTCACCGTAGAAATTGTGCCAAGTTTCCTCCAGACGTGACGCTTGGCATTCAGGCCAAAGAGTTCAATCTTGGTTTCATCAGACCAGAGAATGTTGTTTCTCATGGTCAGAGTTCTTTAGGTGCCTTTTGGCAAACTCCAAGCGGGCTGTCATATGCCTTTTACTGAGGAGTGGCTTCCGTTTGGCCACTCTACCATAAAGGCCTGATTGGTGGAGTGCTGCAGAGATGGTTGTCCTTCTGGGAGGTTCTCCCATCTCCACAGAGGAACTCTGGAGCTCTGTCATAGTGACCATCGGGTTCTTGGTCCCCTCCCTGACCAAGGCCCTTCTCCCCCGATTGCTCAGTTTGGCCGGGCGGCCAGCTCTAGGAAGGGTCTTGGTGGTTCCACACATCTTCCATTTAAGACTGATGGAGGCCACTGTGTTCTTGGGGACCTTCAATGTTGCAGACATTTTTTGGTATCCTTCCCAGATCTGTGCCTCGACACAATCCTGTCTCGGAGCTCTATGGACAATCCTTCGACCTCATGGCTTGGTTTTTGCTCTGACCTGCACTGTCAACTGTGGGACCTTTTATATAGACAGGGGTGTGCCTTTCCAAATCATGTCCAATCAATTGAATTTACCACAGGTGGACTCCAATCAAGTTGTAAAAACATCTCAAGGATGATCAATGGAAACAGGATGTACCTGAGCTCAATTTTGAGTCTCAAAGCAAAGGGTATGAATACTTATGTAAATAAGGTATCTTTTTATTTTTATTTTTTATACATTTGCAAAAAATTCTAAAAACATGTTTTCACTTTGTCATTATGAGGTATTGTGTGTAGATTGAGGAAAATGTTTTATTTAATCCATTTTAGAGTAAGGCTGTAATGTAACAAAATTAGGAAAAAGTCAAGGGTGCTGAATACTTTCCGAATGCACTGTGTATATACATAATGTGCTATTTAGCAGACACTTTTATCCAAAGCTATGATTATGTAATGTTTTCATTCAAAGCAATGCTATCGGAGTTGCTTAAAAATACCAAATTTTCTGTTATTGTGATTATTAACAACTTCAGTAGTGAGAATGAGAGCAGTGATTTGTCTAGGTTGGAGTGATCCCCTACATTACCTCTGACTGTGCCCCTTGTAGGAGGTGCTGGTGTGGCTGACGGCCCTGCAGAAGGAGATGGGAGGAGAGGTGTCTGACGAGGCCATGCGAGACTACATCTGGAACACCCTCAAGTCTGGAAGGGTAAGTGGTCTAGACTGGAGGTCATGCCAAGTTGGGTCAATGAAAGGAAACCCAAAGGAAATGTTTCCATCTACCTAAAAGTGGAGTGAACAGGTGCACAAAGTAAAGGATGCATTTATGTCTTCATTTGAGGAATAAGCTGCAAGGGGAATGATATGTAACTTCTAAGATATTCAACCTAACTTTTTGACCTTCTGTTTGTGTTCTCTTAGGTGGTTCCAGGCTACGGCCACGCCGTCCTGAGGAAGACAGACCCCAGGTACACCTGCCAGCAGGAGTTTGCCTTCAAGCACCTGTCCCGATGACCCCATGTTCAAACTGGTGCACCAACTCTACAAGATCGTGCCCAACGTGCTGCTGGAGCAGGGCAAGGCCAAGAACCCCTGGCCCAACGTGGACGCCCACAGTGGAGTGCTGCTACAGGTGAGTGGTGGGGCGGGGGTACAGGAGGATGGAGCCAACTATTGCGGTACACTTTCAACTGATCGGGAGAGACACTGTGTAAAGGTTACAAGAAAGGCCTCCACCATCTCTTCAAGGGATGAAGGAACATCTAAAAAGTCTAATTTCAGCATCTTTTCATAGTTTGTTCCATCCTAGTGAACTGTCAGAGACATATAAAAAAAAAAGTATAGCCACTCTCCTACTCTACTTTAGCTGTCCTTTATCTTTCTGCAAAGCCCTTATATATATCACATACAATTGGGAGCACTATAATGAAATACCTTCCCCTGTGCTGTGAAATTAACCCTCCATCCCCTCCCTCTCTCCTGTCTTAACAGTACTATGGGATGACAGAGATGAACTACTACACGGTGCTGTTCGGCGTGTCCCGAGCCCTGGGGGTGCTGGCCCAGCTGATCTGGAGCCGAGCCCTGGGCTTCCCCCTGGAGCGCCCCAAATCCATGAGCACGGACGGACTCATGAACCTGGTGGGGGCCAACAAGTCCGGGTAAAAATGAAGTATCAAAGGAAGAGGGAAGGAGGAGGGCAAAGAATAACAAAAGGGGGGAGGAATAGGGGAGGGGGAGTGGGATGATAAATATATAGTACACTTATGAAAACATTAAAGGGCCTTTGCTGGATTTAGTCGGTTCATGTCCGTGACACCAAGGTTATATTTTTCCTTTCGTTAGACTGAGCCATGGTAGTTGTCTTGAGATATTTAAGCTGACTTGGTTTTGTAAAGAAATCAAAATATCATGTCCATTTTTCAGTTCTAGAATCTGGGGCACTCACATTGTGTCTGACGGAATTATCCAAAATACCAAAACAAAAGACAACACTCCATGGCAGGCAAGGTCCTTCTGTAATATAACCACTCTAATATGGCCTAGCAGGTTAGAATATGTACAGTATGCAAATGACAAGGGTATGTAGGTTAGTAATAGGGTACTGCTGCCCCTTTCATCAATGACTGACGTCACACCGCTATCAATTAAGGCAGAGTTCACTTATTACACCACCTCTTTCTGGCAGTATTCACCAACCCCATGGCACATCTGGTAATCAGAATACTCTGCCGGTTGCTTTGTACAGTGCTTCACAAATGGCTCTTAAATAGCTCTGTTCTCTTGGGAAGGGAGGTTGTTTTGAAAAGTGATCAACAGGGTAAGACGGCACTTTGCCGAGCTGAAAGGACTTTGACTGATTTAAAAAATGTCTATCAGATTGGGGGGGGGGGGGAATTAATCTTCCTTTTAGACTTTTTCTTCAAGACCTGAGGACAACCTTAAAACATCAATTGAACTCAATCAATTTCTTATGAGAATGTGTAACATTTTCCCTTTTTATCAGCAATATGAATGTAATTCAAGAGATGGCTAGCATTGACTAATGGCACACGTGACCCGTTAAATCAATGTACTTTTAGAATGTTTTGTAAATGTTTGCTTTAGAACGTTTGCTGGTTTTACTACATCCAACTGTGATCTCTCATGTTGCTCATGAAGCAAGTACACATCTGAAATGCCATACCAAATAATCTCATGGTTGTGTTAAACTGGATTGTTTGTTAAGGTACCATATTTGCTTGGTTTAGTTTTAAGGTTGCCCTCCAGTCTAGTGGTGGGGGGCCTTATGTGTTTGTAATAGTCTGTTTCAATGCAGACCATATCCAATACACTCCAATTGGGCACAGAGGGCCCAACACCACCCCCTGGGTATTCATTTAATTTGTTTTCAAACAGCCCCCTCACACTGTCTACCCCCTCACACTGTCTACCCCCTCACACTGTCTACCCCCTCACACTGTCTACCCCCTACACACTGTCTACCCCCTCACACTGTCTACCCCCTCACACTGTCTACCCCTCACATCACTGTCTACCCCTTACACTGTCTACCCCCTCACACTGTCTACCCCCTCACACTGTCTACCCCCTCTACCACACTGTCTACCACCCCTACCCACACTGTCTACCCCTACATGTCACCCCCTATTCACACTGTCTACCCCCTCACACTGTCTACCCCCTCACACTGTCTACCCCCTCACACTGTCCACTCACCCCCTGTCACACACTGTCTACCCCCTCACACTGTCTACCCCCTCACACTGTCTACCCCTCACACTGTCTACCCCCTCACACTGTCTACCCCTCACACTGTCTACCCCCTCACACTGTCTACCCCCTCACACTGTCTACCCCCTCACACTGTCTACCCCCTCACACTGTCTACCCCCTCACACTGTCTACCCCCTCACACTGTCTACCCCCTCACACTGTCTACCCCCTCACACTGTCTTCCCCCTCACACTGTCTACCCCCTCACACTGTCTACCCCTCACACTGTCTACCCCCTCACACTGTCTACCCCCTGTCTACCCCCTCACACTGTCTACCCCCTCACACTGTCTACCCCCTTCACACTGTCTACCCCTCACACTGTCTACCCCCTCACACTGTCTACCCCCTCACACTGTCTACCCCTCACACTGTCTACCCCCTCACACTGTCTACCCCTCACACTGTCTACCCCCTCACACTGTCTACCCCCTCACACTCTCTACCCCCTCACACTGTCTACCCCTCACACTGTCTACCCCTCACACTGTCTACCCCTCACACTGTCTACCCCCTCACACTGTCTACCCCCTCACACTGTCTACCCCCTCACACTCTCTACCCCCTCACACTCTCTACCCCCTCACACTCTCTACCCCCTCACACTGTCTTTTCCCAGCTGATTCCTTCCCACATAGTATATATGTATTTTAGGTTTTAGAAGTTTGTCCTGTTCCTGTATTTTATCCTGTTTTAATCAAACCTCAGGTTATTCTGGTTTAAAGAGAGATACATCTTATGTGAGATCATTGTAAAGTGAAGGAGGAATCTGAACTGTAATGTAGCAGTTGTGGGAGAGAAAATGGAAAACAAAACAAAAAGTCCAATAAATGTTTTTATTAACAATTACTATTTTTCTAATACTCTGATTATTGCTGTGTTTATGTAACTGCAACAACTCATTCTTTCCTACAATAGAAATCCACAATTAACTGCCTATCACAACATTTATGGAGATGTGGTTGTTTCACATTCCTTAGCTGAATGCATTTCTAGAAGGTGCTTTGGATAAGAGTGTCAGGTAAATGACTACACCGTAATGTGTGGTCATAACGGGGTACCACAGAGCAAAGCCTCATGTTATTCAGTGCAGGCTGTGTATAGTACATACTGCATATGTGTTGGCTGGGTGGAGTATTCTGAGGATGTCTCAGTTGTTATTAATAGTGTTCCAGACATTTCTCCACAGCACTCAGGTTTCTGCTTCCCTTTGGCCTAGTCAAGACATCATGCGCCTGTAGTACAGAGACTCTGGATTCTTCTGAAGTCCAAATAAACAACAAATCAGTGTGCTTTGGTCAGGAAATATAAAATCGCTATATGTAGCAACTGTGGGTTCAAATTACAAATGGGCTCACGAGGTGCCCTAAAAATGATGGGGTCTGACTATATCGATGGTCTTTCTCCTAATTTGCCAATCACTCCTGTGACATACAACCCTGTTAACTAAATGTCCTGATATTGACAAAGATGCGACCAAACAGTTGTACTGTAGTAGTATATTGGCTTTGGTTTTACAGAGCCTAAAATACATAAAGGGAAGCACTGACTAGTTGTAATGGCTGACAGCACCTTAGGAGCCCTGATTCTCACCAACAGTCGCCACCTATATTAACCCTTAACTTTAGCCACCAAAATAAACATTTAATGCAAATCAGGGAAGTGTTATAGGACAGTAAAATAAATGTCCCCTGCAATCTTTTAATTAAATGTGACAAATAAGAATTTTCGGAATTTTACATGTAAACACCACGAATATCATATTCCTCCATAATACTACACTGAACAAAAATATAAACGCAACAATTTCAAAGATTTTACAGAGTTACAGTTAATATAAAGAAATCAGTCTATTGAAATAAATAAATTAGGCCCTAATCTATGGATTTCACATGACTGGGAATACAGATATGCATATGTTGTTTACAGATAAATAAATAAAGTAGGGGCCTGGATCAGAAAACTAGTCAGTATTTAGTGTGACCACCATTTGCCTCAAGCAGCGCAACATCTCCTTCACATAGGGTTGATCAGGCTGTTGATTGTGGCCTGTGGAATGTTGTCCCATTCCTCTTCAATGGCTGTGCGAAGTTGCTGGATATTGGCGGGAAGTATGTAATTGTGTTATTTGTTCACTCAGGTTCCCTTTATCTAATATTAGGTTTTGGTTTAATCAAAAATATGCAAAGTAGAGAAAATTAGAACGGGGCCAAATACTTATTATTTCCAGCTGGTGCAGTCCCATGGCAGTAGGCGGTGGTGTGATCCATCCATGACCATCCTCTTCCTCCTCCACAGTGCCACCCCAAAATGATATTTTAAGAGCCACCCACAGGTATCACAAAATGAGCAAAAATATTCCATTAAAGTTGTATCTGTGTTGGTGTCAGTTAGGGATGGATCGAGATGTACTGAATGGTTATCTGGAGGAAAATGGGGGTGGGTCATGCTTTTAACATTTCAGTCAAGGGGAGGGTTTAGTATATTTTTCAATATAGTCCAGGGGGGATCATGTCATTTGTAATTGATTAAATGTCAACATTTCTCAGTGTTTTAGAAGTTGCTTATTAGGCTATATATTCTCTGCAGGGCACGTAATATCAATTGGCCCTATAGGCTATTTAGTGTGGTCTCAATCAAATTATGTATAGGCTATAGGCTGCGAAGTGCATGCTCGGAGAAGCACAAAGCAAAGTTATATTTCTAAGATAGCTGCTGGAAGTGTAAATAAAACTAGGCTGCATTACACACTGCACTGGATATTCCAACCCTGATCCCCAGCCTGCTCTGCTCTTGCTGATCAAAAACGTTTTGTCTGCTGCTTAACCAATGGCTGTGCTGTGTAGGGCTATGGTGGCAGTTCAAGAGGAGAGTCAAAGGTTTCTTCCGAAAATAAATGTTGATTAGGCCTAGTCTTGCACGCGGACTAGCCCATAGCCTATGTTCTGTTCAGTTTGGAGAGCGTGAACCAAGAAGGAGAGCGTGAACTTTGATAGCTTGCTACTACTATAATTGATTTGATTAAAAACAATATATTTCTTGCCCATTATGTATTTATCAGAGTTATTGACCTCACAATAAGCCAGATTCAACTTACATTGTGGTGCTGAAACTTGAAGCAGCAGCCGGCACAATCAATCGGAAATGGACAGCTCATGGTGCTGAAAATAGGCAAATTCGAGTAGGCATAATTCATTTCAATGTCTTCATTTTAATCAGCCTTTACTAACAACAAGAGGGCATTGTGTTAGAGCCTATTTTTTCCTATTTAAGAAATAAGAGGTAGGCCTACTGTTTGACAGAAGAAATTAGGCTATAGGCTGCTATATCCATAGATTTGTCAGTCAATTCCTCCACCAACCATGCAGTCTTTAAATAGCCTACCTCAGTGTCAGTGAAGGGCTGTTAAGTTAAAACCAAGACTGGAATTGAGGG